GTAGTTTAGTTCTGAGTACTTCCTTTCCCCTCGTTTCTCCAAGCCTACGCTCATTCCATTACCATCCAAGCGTTCACTACGTCCTTGATCTGAATGGTTTCACGCGTTCGCCCACTCACGCCATTAGTCGAAGGCCAACTGAGGAGGAGATTTTCGTTCGACATTCTCCAGTCGTCCTCGCATCCGCGCGGCGGTACGGCTAATTGCAACTATTTCATGTTGGAACTGGCATCTAATGCGATACGGCCCATTACTTCAGTGCTGTTCTTTGTCCTCAATTTTGCTAGCACAATGTGAAACCTGTTGCTTAAATGGGATCTGAGAGCTGTTTTGGTTTAGCTTACATGCCTGCTCTCTGGAAATCAGTCGAAATTCTGAGAAAAAAAGACGTTAACAAGACCACGCTCACAAGGAAGGGGGAGGGTCTCTGGAGATTGTGAGTCCATTTTACAAACGGCTTGTTGCCTGTTGTAGAGATTGGGGCGGAGGCCCGAGAAACGTAGTTCATTTTCGCCTCTCGTCCTGGCTATGTTTGCCATTGTTGGGCCAGAAAAAGTTCTACGTGTTCAGGACGAATTCGTCGATGCAAAGCTCTAGTGTTTTTTGGACAAAAAGTTTGGACTTCTATAGACACATTTTGTTAAGGCAAACGGTTCAGACTAATTTGAATTGAAGAAGATAAGAATGGAAAATTTTGTTGCCTATGGGATCCAAACGGTGAGCGTATTTCCCACCATTTTTTGGCCTTCCGAGGAGCGCGCACCATAAATGAACTACACTTTCATGGTCCCCGCATGGGATTCTACAACAAACAACAAACCATTTTGAAAATAGGCTCCACGACCTCAAAGACCCGTGCCGAATGTCATGGAAATGGCATATAGCACGTTAACTGTACTCGCATAACCTCCCAACCCCACATTTTCTCTCAATTTGTCCCGCCTCTTCACTGCAATCCTCCTGGCCAGTTCAGAGAAACACAGAGCAGGCGGGAAGCCCGCATCGCAATAAGCAGTCGCCGTAAGGTTGGTGGGATCGCCCCATAAGGTAGTTAGCATTTCTCAGGTGGTGGCCTCAACTGCAATTCTTCCAAGTTTATTAGTTTAGGTCTTTTTGAATGGCGAATATGCCACCTCACTTGCAACTTCTCCGGCGCAGATCAACTCGGTGGGAAAGCGCCCGTTTTTTCCGGCTGTGTTTTTCCCATCGATAACGTGATGCCGATTGTCTGCATGTGAGATCGTGACTACTGTAAAGCTATGGAGGAACAAGGAGTTTTGTTTAAACGGTGAAAATCCACAGATCCGCACCAAGCGGCACGTGAGCTTAAGAGAACTCGCAAATGGAACAAGCGAAAGTGACCCCTCCCCCCCTATCCCAACCAAACAGCGCCACTTCTCCTTCATCATGCCTTCGAACAGGTAGAAAAGCCGCACGCCCAGTAGCGCTAATTTTCCTTGAGCCTGCTGGCTTCTCCTGTCAAACAGGCACCATGCATCTCGGAAGAAACTATACCAGTAGCTTACCAATTGTTTGGATTGATTCAACCACATCTTTGACTAGAATGAATCAGAAATGCCAAACATTCATAGGAATGTGCAGAAATACTTACCATTCCCAGTTTAGGTGTTTGCCGCAGTGCAAGGAGGAAGTAGTAGGCAGATAACAAAGATAATAGAGGTAATTCGTACCGATAGTACCTAAAAACTGGGTTTTGCTTTCTTTAAGGAGTGGGTGCTGCTCCAGAGACAGCACATTTAACGCTCGTCATTGTGGGCGAGCCAGGCTAATACGTGTGCCTGTATTCATGGCAGCAGATCTTCCTCGAAAGACAAATAACAGTGGCGCCAAAGGGAAGGCCGAGTGGTAGATCCCGAATCTACGCCGATAACCAGCTAGAGTGGAATAAGTTGCCCTCAAAAGAGAAAAAAAATAAAAAAATACACAGAATTAAAAAACGAAAGGGTAAAGAGACTCACCATGTCCACGGTAGACATCTGTTATTGAAGAGACTGTTTATGAAAAATACGTTTTCGTACCAATACTTGGGGCACTGAATGGCTGGATCTGTTGGTGGCCACATCGGATGGAAATGGGTTACCTGAATAGAAATGGATCTGATAGCCTAGACCACTCCTTTTAGGGTCACTACTGGCGTGCGTGTGAGCCTAAGAACGGACGAGCTGTCTCAAGGGTAATCATTCGAACTCACCGATAGCCGCAAAGTCACCGCCACCAGTGTGTACAAGTAGGCTGGCCATAGTCGGACCACTCGGATGTCTGTAGAAACGTAACCAGTAGCCGTATGACGTCCATGTAGGCTCTTCCTCTGGAAAATTAATAAAAATATTTTTGAGGAGCCCAGAACTGTTCATCTACTCGGAATCAGTAACCACATACCAGTAGTGTTTTTCAGCCATTTTCGGAACCACGAGTATGAGAGCACTGTTCCGCCCAGCACCAAAAAGGTGTCAACGCCAAGAGTGAAGTTGGTGATCCATTGATTCCAGAAATTGTTTACCATCGACTCTTTGAACTCGTCAACATTCTCCAAGATATGCCTGAAAAGGTGACGTGAATGGGATTTGAAATAGGGAGGGAAAAGTCGCAGAAAAGCTAAGGAAAAGCTAGAGCCCACAAAAAAAATCTAAAAAAGCTTAGATCTCATGAAACTTTTGCAGAAATAGTGATTTCAAAGGCAGTGGGCGTGCTTGCTTTAACGACGGTTGTTGCCGCCCTCATTGGTGGAAGGGCTGCGAGAGGGCGTTTGGCCACTCCATTCAGCTCTTCCACCAATGACGTTGGCGACAACCACCCACCCCAGCAATCGTGCCCACTGCCTTTAACACATTTATCAACATCCTTGGAAATGAAGTCCCTTTTGAGGTTACTACGAGCTCATGGTAATCTGGTGATCCGCAGTGAAGTACCGTCTCCGACCTTAATCTATTAAGGACCAGCTGTACACTAGCCCTTTACGCCTCATGGACAGCCCTTTCCATGTATGAGGTGAAGGGGCCGCAGCTGCAGTAGCGTGCCGCTCAAACTGCATGGGAACGAGGTTGGAAGCTGGTTATACTCGAAAGCCGTCTCCAGACTCACCCGCGCTATCCTCTAA